CCATGCGCTTCTTCTTTGGCGTATAACGGATCCGTCTGTATAGATTATTGCATGCTGCTTCGTCTGATTTTCACCGATGAAAGCGTTGACCTCTGCATTAACAGCAACAGGATTCTCTCTTCTCTACATCGCCTGTTGAGTGTGACAATACAGGAAAATGTACAAATAAACGCCTGAGGCACAGGTATCCATTCTGCACCAGGTATGATGTCGGTTAGGCTGCATATTTGCCTAATAACATCTTCTGCCCGACCTAGCCACGATTTCCCCCTCTTCAGTCTGTCGCCCTTTTCACTATTCATATGTTGTATTATTTTTAAATGCAGGCTGCCTTGTTCACATTTTTTGCAGCAAATTTTATGGTCTTAAAACTTTGTGAAAGTCTGACTTACACTTATAAACCAATCTGTTTCTTGCTTCTTGTGTATAATGTATTTTGTGTTTAGATTTTATAGCATGCTATAACATGATAAGGCAAGGCAGCCTTTAGTAGTTGATAGATTATCCTCACTGCACATCGATCAATTCAGTCAGCCTATAAGTGCTTGGATTCCCTCCATAGTAAAGTAGTCTCCCGACACCAGTTCTGTGTTGGTTTCTTGTTTTTCTTTGGCTTCCCGCATTGTGCCCGTCTAGCCACACCCCTTTAAACATGTTCTTGCAGTCTGGTTATTGTTGCAGATTCGGTCATCACTTGGTTATTGCAAACATCTTCTCGTAGAGCATTCAGAATATCAGCTGGATCAGTGGCTTGTTCACCCTCTACAGTAGCTTTACATACAAGCCGATCAGCTTCCTTATTTTCTTGCACATGCGCGCCCTAACACAAATGAAACTGACATGTGACAGGGTTCTTTATTAATATTCTACTCCAGATGACATCACAGGACAGTCCAACATTTTAGAGGGTGGTGAGACTGGGTTTCCCCGGCTTTCTTTTGCTTAAAATGACCCCAAAACATCCAGAACTAACCCTAACCCACCTATATATCACGAGAGAGTGCAGCCTAGGTCCCACGAATGCATGCAGCCTAGCTACCACCCCCTGAAATATTAGACTGTCCCGTGACCTGTAGATTTCCCCCATTTGGGGTAGGATATAAATAAAGCACCAAGTGTCCGCCCTGACCGCTTTAGAGACTCCAGCCACTGTCTTCGGATTCAGCCTTTATCTTCCTGAGCATACTCATTGAGTCACTGGGAAAGCGTGTGCCAGAAAAAGTCTGTCTTCAGCCATGTTATTGCTTTGGTCACTGCCATGACCTCCAGAAAATCAAGACTACTTGTGACCAAGGCCACAGCACCAGAATCTTGATTTACAATTCTCACTCCAGTCTGAGCTGTGAATGCCAAGAGCTTCTCACATGGCAAATTACAGACCCATCTGTGTAAATGATAGCATCCCCCCTGTAGAGAGTTCTTGAATATCAAGGCCTGCACTTCTGCCAAGAAGGATACAAACAGAAAAGGTTATGCGGCAGTCTGTTGGTACTCGTACGCATTTCTCACCAGGTTCTATGTCTTCAAGTGTATAATGTGCTCGGTCTGACCCATCCAAGATTTCTCTTTTTAACCTGCTGTCTTTTTCCGCTTGCAGCGGGTGTTGTGTGCCTGCGCTGACTGAGGTAGGCTCTGCAAATTTTAAATTCTGTCCTCCATGTTTGGAAAATCTAGACCATAGCGTAACGCCCTGCAAGCTGTATCTCTCTAAGCATAATGTGCATAGCTTCGTTCTGCATCTTTTCCATCTTGCAGCCAGCCTTTATGCACAGCAATGCAGGACACATTTTATACATTCTCAGAACAAAGGCTGCTAATCACATTAAAAAGGGAAAAGATTTGCTTTTAGAACAAAAGACAACAGAAATAGACATTCAATGAAAATAGACTGATAAATGCAGCATCTGGCTGTCCCGGAAAAAAAAAATAACATGTGGGGAAAAAATATGCTGTCATTGCTCCACAACTACAACCAAAATCTGCATAAAAGGCAGTGAAAAGCCTATGTTATTTAACAATTAACTATAAGTTAATCCTGCAAAATCACCATCTGTAAAAAAATAATTTGACAAAACAGTTAATATATGCCAAAAATCGTACATATAAGCAGGTGATTATGTAATAACAGGAATTTCTTTGGATTTCCGAAGGGTTTACCGAGATGACGTGGTGATGGCACAGGCCAATGAGAAACGGGCAAAGAAAGAGAAGTTACATTCGCATGCAGGACTGAACAGTTACAAGATCACAGTCTATGGGTGGGGAACATGGGTTCCCAAGGACGAATAAGATAGAGGCAGTTGATGTTTGGACAGCGGTAAGAGAGAGGTTTGAATGGGCCAAAAAGAGAAATGGTATGGACGGTTAAGAACTGCTATGAAGAGCGAGTGTTAACAACGTTTAAAAGATCCTGAACACACAAGTTGATATGACTGCGATGGACTAAGGAGAGGGACGAGTGGCTACAAAGTCTGTCACTGGTGTGATAATTAAAAATTTTGGAATTAGTTTGATGCCTGGAACGAAAGGTAAATACACCTGTTGTTGATGTGTGATGTTTTCTGCAACAGTATTAGTCAGAGAAACTCAGTACGACTAATTTAACTAGGGTAACGACTGAACAGTATGACTGTCACATCAGCAACATTTTTTTAGTTTAGTTTAAATCCCTTTACACGCCCTTAAGCGCATCAGGCATATGGGAAGGGCATCCATATTTATTACAGACCATCGGCACTCGGTGGGTAATGTGGTCAGCATTACGTCGGCCGTCTTTACTTTCCCAGGACAGCCCATCCTGGTACCCATTTGAGGCTGGGTCGACCTGCGATGTCCCATACCACGGTAAAAATCGACGCAGCCCGCAGTGGGTTTCGATCACGGTAGGTTGGATTACGAGTCAGACTCACAGCGCCTTAGCCACGGACGCCGCACATCAGCAACATAGCTTATTAATATTTATCAACTAGTGTGGCGTTCAAACTAACACAACAGCTGAACAATTGTGTGTCCAAACAGAACCTAGGAACAGCATTATTTTAAGCTGGAGGCCCTTTAACAGAAAACCCAGGGAAATACAGCCGAGAATCTTCACGTTTCAAACAGAGTATGCAAAGACAGGAAGTTCCAAGAACAGCAACTCTGTGTGCGGGGCCCACTGTGATTTAGGAGTGCCACTAGTGATTAAAGTGGTGGAGATCGTTGATAGCAAAAGTGGGACTTTGGGGTTCACATTACCTTTCCATAGCCGTTAACTTCATTTTGTCCTTTCCTTTCATAATTTTTCTCCTAGCCTGCAACATGATTCAAGACATCCTGCTCCCATAAACTTATATCAGTACCAGTACAACCCATGTCCCACTGCTCATATCGCAGTAGAGACCACCTCCAACATCTTCTACTGATCTGTGATTCACTGCAGAGGAAACCAAACTTATTACCTCAGCAACCCTCCAATTGTTTCCAGTCATCCTCACTTCTGAAGACTAGGAATACAAAAAAAAAAAAAAAAACATGATACCTCTACTACCCAATACCAGTGTGTAATCTTGCCACACCCCTATCATTTGTAGACACTGCTTATGAAAGCTAGAAAATTGTTTCTTCATATGCAAGTCAGCTGAGTTTTTTTTTTTTTACCATATAGAAAGTGCTGAAGAGATGTGTTCGATAAGCAAAGGTTTTTGTTTTAACCATGAACTTTCTTTTCTCCCAGTATGCTGACTGCTGTTTTTCATATCCTGACATTGATTATTTGGTCCAGCGACAGTTCGTTTTTGAGTGAGGATAAAATGGTATATACATACATATACATTAAAATGTACAAGACTTACTAACCTCATCTTCTTCATCATCGTCATCGTTATCATTCTCATCTGGAAATGAAAAAAAAACTTGGAATTAAACCCCAAAATGGGAAAACCTCAGAAAAAGAAAATAACTCTGGCTTCAATGTACCTGTCTATTAGAAACAAATTTAAAAAAAAACTAGCGTGGGAGTGAGACAGGGTTGCATAGTATCCCCTCTCCTTTCTAATTTGTGTTTGAAACATACGAGAGAAACACTACCAAATCATGAAATATATATATCCATTGGCAGAAGACAACTGTAATCTACATTTTGCAAAAGGACATTGATCTCATAGTTGGTCCTGAAGGAGAACTCAAAGAACTTACTACAAAATTATAGACAGTCTGAGGTAAATATGGCATGGAAATTAAAGCTAAAAAGCATGATTCTGGTAAATATTCACAATAAGCAAGAACCTACCAACATACAGATAAAACGAGGGGAGGGGGGAACTAGAAGAAGTTGAAACCTTTAAATATCTTGGCTCCCATATATGTAACGATAGCAGCTTCACCAAAGAAATCATGTTTTATGTGCTAGTGCTTCCATCGATACACCATGATTCTAATGGGTTAACGGTTATGTTATGAGAAACTAGGACTTAGTAATAAGAACTTAGTTTTGACACTACCAATAAATACCACATTCAATTAAACTGCTCATATATAATTAACGAGTAAAGTTTTCTACTACTTTTTTATTCCAAGTAGTCTTTTTACAATGACCATTTAAAAAAAGTTAGGCACCCTATCTCAATAAGCAATAAGAAAAAAGTACCGATACATTAACAGATCTGAAAATGAACTGTAAGATACAACCCCACAGTAACAATGACGCTGACTTCAGTATGTGTTAGCTGATTGCCTGATCTAGTTTAATATATGAGCTACGGTGGCACCGTGACTATCATACTTGCCTATCATTCCAGTGGCCATAGGTTTAATGAGATTCCTAGCTTTCTATTTCTGGGTAAAGATTCAACATCACAACATTCAGGACAAGCCCATTTTAGCTCCATCACCTACCACCCCAACTTCAAGCTCTCGTGTTGGTCCACCACCAAATCTCTGTATAACCCCCCCCCCCTAAACCAATTTTCTATCAAGATCTGGTGACATAAATTTTTAACGTGGTTCATTTACAAACTTACCATCAGCCTCTTCCTGTTCATCTCTATCAAATCCATCCAGATAGGTAATCTGTGACAGCTTAGCAAACACCTTCTCTCTATACTGATCAATGTTAGTCACCTCACAATTGAATAAATCCAGAGACTGCAAGCACTGAAGATCTTTCTGTTGAAAACAGAAGTAGAATGTAGCTTTACTAACTTAACCAATTCAGTTCACTGGAATAATAAACTATTAAATGCAGATTTAGCATGGAGTACGAAACTATTTAAGTATTATGGTGCAATAATAAAAATAAAGCAAATGTGTAAAGGTTCCGAGTGCTCAGAATGTCTCAAGTATGCTCACGTTTTAAGTGATTAGTTTGCTGTTGGATCTGCAATGACACATCAATTGTATCTCCTTTATTTGGCATCAATTCTGATGGACTGAAAACATGGGCACCAACTGGGTGGAATATCTTGCTTTTGCAGATATTGTTCTGCTAAGTAATGACATGTGAAGAAAACATTATTTAGCATAAAAGGTGATATAAATAACTTATGAAAGGACAAAAAGACTGAAGACACCAAAAACAGCTTAAGATGTTATATTAGGAATTCTTGAATCCACTAAAATTCACACTTGATGTCTGAATTAACAAACCCTTCAAAGTTGCTTTGAGAGATAGTTGGAACCAACAGATGAAGTCTTATGGGGAGAATTTGACAGCAGCAGGTATTACGAAGAAACCAACTACAGGAGAAGTTTGTACATGGACAAAAAGATTCTAGGATAATGTGAAGATTGAGACTGTTGTCAAGTCATTCAAGAAGTGTGGCATTTCCAGTGCCACCGATTGAACTGAGAATGAGGCAATACTGATTGATGGCAATGAGTTGCAGTGATTCACCATCAGACAATGACAAGCTGAAGAACTATATGGATACAAGTTTTGACACATAAGTTTTCTGGATTTAATAATGAAAGCAAAGTATGTTTAATTCATTAACTGTATGTAATCATTTTCTCTCAAAATGACCAGTCCCAAAATCAAGGTGCGCCTTATACATGGGATCATCTTTCACTTTGGGAAATGTGGTATGAATTTTTGATTTTAACATGTCAGTAAAGGCTGTAGAACCACTTAAGATACGGTACTTTTTCTTTGCATTCACCAGCTGAAACTCCGGCAGAAAGTTATATCACCCCTAGACTTTAGTCTTGTCCCAGAACCAGAGTCCCATTTTATGGATCTTATTTGTATGTAGACTGTTAGTTGCTTGTCTCTACGGTGGGTGAGCGCTGACTTCGAAGGAAGTCACTAGTTGGTCGACTCTTATAATATGCTTGTTAGAGAGAGAGTGAGTATATCATTGTTTTCCTGAAGCATGATAATGATATGAGATAAAAGTTAACTGTGTGTTAAAATATCCTAAAGAAAATTATTAACAAAATAGGTCGATTTCAAGAAAAATAAAAATATACTTAAAATACCTGGAAAACCAGTGGGTATCAACAGTTAAAATATAAAGAAGCAGATGCTACAATGAACACATCATGAGAGAAAAAAAGCAAAGAATCACCACACGGGAACTGAAACAAGAAATACAAGGATTTAAGGAAGAGGAAGTCTAAGATAAACTCTAAAATGACCCCTGACAAGAGAAGCCAAACTAAATTGCACACAAGGAACTGCACAGAATAAAGTGAAATGGAGGAGTAAACTGCGAGCCCTATGTGACATATAATTAGACATAGGACAATGATGATCTGACTTTACAAAACAACTGGAATGATCTGTTTATTAGCCAGTTATCCTATTAGCAGAAACAAATAATAAAAGTAATGCAAACCTAAACTGAGCTGCTAAACAAATGAAGACAAACAGAAATAAGAGCCCTACCAGCACATCTGGTGAAGATACTAAGAGGATGGTGGATTTAAAAAAAAATGTGTTTATCCAGAGAAACTGTAAGAGCAAACTATATGTAATGAAAATCATGAAAATGCAGAATGATTTTCAACAAGCCCAGTCATAAAATGTACTAGAAACCAAGCGAAACAGCTAACAAGAAAAACCATATCTGAACTGAAATTAAACAGTGAGAGAATAGTTACAAAATATCTATGATTATGAACTTTTCAGCTTACGATAATATTACAATAAATGGTCAGTTTATTTTTCAAAGTGATATTAAATGTTACATTTGGGAATATCATACTAATTACTGTGATACAGACACTGACAGAAAGTTGTGGTCTTCAGTTTTAAACATCACTTTAACGATTGTTATATCTATTATGCCCCCAGATACTAAATATATTGTTTTAAAAACTAAGTAGGCCAACTAGAATGGCAATGAGACCTTGTGATGCAGATACAGCTTTTGATTTGGCATTTGTTAGTCAACAGTGCTGGACACAGAATGGAGTGCCCTAGACGATCACGGGAGTGACCATATGCCATGCGCATGTGATTTCTAAAGCTAAGATCAAGGCTGTGAGAACACCAGTACCTTTCTTGGATGCCTCCAACAAAGGTATGCATCAGAACCACCAGAAGTAGAAAAGGTATAGGGAGCAAAGCAAGCAGCAGTTAAGCAATAACAGGAGGTGCAAAAGACACCTCACAGGTTACAAGAGGGTGTAGAGAATTTAGCAAGAGTTAGAAAGGAAATGGTAAAAAAGAGTTGAAACGGTGTGCAGCAGATGCAAAAAAGGCTAAATGGGAACATTTTATGAGTGAAACTGGAGGGGATAAATCACTGGGTAGTTTTGGAAACTTCACAGATATGCAAAGGAAGGATCAGCCCATCACGACAGGCATTATATTCACCGATAATGATATGTCAATGACAACAAAGAGAAAGAGGAAGCATTTTTAAAGAGATTTATAGCCTAAACTGATCATTATGACAGGGATCTTGAAAATTCAGTTAGAGATAATCTGTGATCCTCATCATCATTAACCACGTTAAGCGTCGTGGGGGAGGAATAATTTGTGATCCAGTGCACGTTGGCTGCCACTGGCTATTGCCATGCCATAAAGGCGTAGAGTGACTTTAATGTTGACGATCCATGTTTTCCGCGGCCGTCCTCTTGCTCTTGTAGTTGATCTTCTGAGATGTAGTGCTTATGATGGTATTTGATCTTGCTGCATTCTAACGAGATGGCTAAACCACTTGATCTGCCGTTTCTCTGTGAATCTAGTACAAGGTGTCGTTCCCACAATTTGCAGTTTCATTATTCACTCAATCTCGTATGGTTAGGTTGGCAGCTTTTCTCAGGCACCTTATCATGCAGGTGGTAATTTTGCGTATATGGGCTTTAGATAGTGTCCATGTTTGGCACTGGTAGCTTAATGTTGGAATGAATATGCTATTAATAATCTGTCTCTTTGCACTCATAGTTATGCTTGGATGCCTAAATAATGGTAGCAGTTGTTATATAAGTGCACTTGCTTTCTGACATCTGGTTTCTATTTCACTGTCAATTCTGCCATCTTCTGTGATCATACTTACTAGATATTTAAACTCCCCAGCTTGATTCAGGGCAGAACCATTCAGCTGTATGTGTAGTGGGGCAGGGGTTCTACTAACTTGCATTGTTTCAGTTTTGTTTACATTGATCTTCATGTTTTATTTACTACATGCTGAGTTTAACCTGTTAATGTGGTCTTGCAGTCTATGTTCATCAGGGTAGAACGAGCACTGGTGGTCAGCAAATAGTAGTTCGTTTAATGTGGGCGAATCGATTACTTCTCCTGATGAGTGTACCTCCTTGTGATTATAAAGGTCTATGTTGTCAGTATTATAGCTTGCTTCTTTAGATATTCTGTCTTTATAGATATTAAATAAAAGTGGGGAGAGCACACATCCTTGCCTCACACCTGTGTTGACTGAACATATCTGATATGCCTTCTTGTGTTTTTACTGCACTTTGGCTTGTGTGGCTATGATGTTCTCTAGTACCCGGTAGTTCTCAAGAACAGACCACAGTTTGTTTGTTTCCACTCTATCGAAAGCTTTTTCCTGATCTATAAACAGAATATTCTGTTTGGTATTATACTCAATGGCTTTCTCACACACTTGCCTCAGAGTGAATAATGCATTTGTGCATCCTCTGCTTTTTCTGAAACCGAATTGTGATGCACTCAGTTGTTGTTCAGCTATGGGTCCTAACTCTCTGTTCTAGTAATTTGGATAATCTGTCTAAAACTATAAATGATAATCATTTTGAAGATATCATTAGGGTGGAAGATATAAAATAAATATTGCAAAAAGCAAAAGACACAGCGCCGGGGCCAGACAGAGTCAGGTATGCCCAGAGTATGAGTGATAAAAGACATGAGGGAGATGGATTTTTACCTTAACTAAAGCATCAGAACAGCTTCAGCACCCCAGGATTGGATACATAGCTACCTAATCCCACTTCCAAAACCAGACAACAATCATTCCAGACTTAGCAGTTTCGGGATTATCACCTGACAAAATACTTTTGGCAAGGTGGTTGAAGATTGCTGTTACAAACTACAAATGTTTTTGGAAAAGGAAGAACTCCTGCCAAAAGGTTTGGGTAGTTACCTGGATACCTGGTCAAATGCAGCTATTTTTGCTTTTAATGTTTGTGTGGGGGGGGGGGGGGGTTCCAGAACAGAAAAGAGACAGTTGTGGCAGCATTTGATCTTGAGGATGCATACAACAGTCAGATTTTATATTTTTTATATCTTCACTCATGGAGAATGTGGTTTGTCCCTGGCTTGTGAACTGGATAGCAGCTGCCCTGCATTTGTGTATGGCTGCCTTTCGCCAGGGTACATGGCGAACCATGTAATATCACCCCGGGACTACCCCAGGGTTCTGCAAATTTCACCAGTGCTCTTTAATGTGTATACAAGCCAAAGTGCAGAACATTAGGCACCAGGTGTTGGAAGAATATTAACATTTGCCAATGATGTTCTTGCATATAGGAAGAGGAGTAACAGGCAATGGATAGCCTAAGAGCTACAGACAACTGAAGACACAGTGACTGACTGGTGTGCAGAAATGGGTGCTGTCATCAATTCACAAAAGGCGGCTGTTTTGTGGTGCTCTCTGGACAATAATTGTAAGAGCTAATGTTCCAAGCCTCATAATTAATGACAATAACAACAACATAGAGGGCAAACTGAGGTACCTATATATTATTTTGGATAGAAACCTGTTCTTCAGGGATCATGTAGAGGCAGCTGCTGTGAAATGCCAAAAAGGACTCAATGCTCTCAAGGTTATGGCAGCAGTGAACATGGAACAAAGAATGCTGTTCACAATGTTCCAGGAAGTGATCCTGTTGGTGATAGATTATCAATCTATGCTTACCATATTAAAGAGTCAGCTGATGAAACTTAAACGCATATAGAATGAACAGTCATGCCTAGGAACATAAAGATCATTACAGTTTGGGGATAATAGCGCTGCAAGAAGTTACAAGGAGATCTGGCCGGCGAGATAGATATACAATCAGACAGTTACTGGTGCCATCGGAATTGGAACACTTCACATGCTGCTGAAGATGGGGCTGGGGGTGTCCCTAGTGCTGTGATGTCGACTCTTGTTACATCATAATAAAATAAATTTATCTTTCTAAATGTCCATAAACATTTCTCAATGCCTCTATACAAACTTCATTGACACTTTTGCTCATATTTTTTTTATTAATTTCAAGAGGTAGGACAGATAATCTAAGACTACTAATATACTAACAGAAATGTAACTTTGCACTTCTACTGAGGGCAGAGCACTTATGGCAATGTCTTGAGTGCTATGATGCCAGTTCTTAACTAATCTTTTATAAATTTGAGTTGGTACGATGCCTGATATTATTTGCCAGTACTTACTAAACCATCCAGGATATCCATATTCTTAATCTTGTTTCCACTCAAGCTTAGATGTGTTAGTTTAGTGCAGCCAGTCAAGTGATCTAAACCTCCCGATATTCTGTTGTCACTGAGATCTAACTGCAATATATTTATATAAAATGAACAAACATGTTAATACAATAACAAAACTAATAATTCTCTATTCTTACAGAAAATATGTTATATTAAATAAGTTTGTTCTGCAACATCCTGTAAAGAAATGCAACAATTTTTAAAACCAGGAGAATGAAACTAAACACAAAGACTCTGACTGCTGAGACAACAACTTCTTGGGAACAAAAGAGAAGTTAAAAAGCCTTAACTGTCTCCTTTGGTAATTATGAAACAATCCACGACTCACATCTATGTAGCCATAGAAAAAATTGATGTTTTCCAAATCTACTTTGATTTGTTTCCTGGTACTGTGGCTTAACGATGTTTCAGGACTGCTTTATTCCATTTTTCAATGTTTAAAGGTTAAAATCGAGTGGATCGTGATTAGTTTAATATGGCTTCATTCGTCTCTGCAGAAGGCTAGCCAAGTGTCGCACAAAGCCAGAATACTGTAGCTCAAGGAACAGCATGCAGGAGTCCATAAAAATGTCACATTTAAACCATGAAATGAACCCATCACAACCTTTAGAGTGCGAGGCTAACAGCCAGACCACTTTGCCACAGATCCTATATTTTTTAGTAACGATTTGCCAATCAGCCCCTGTCTTACTGATTTAAATCAATCCCCTTTTCAATCTTTTTTTTTATGATGAGCGCCTTTTGCCAGTATCCCTCTTCTCTTCTTAACCAGTGACTGCTCAATATTGTATTTACTTGTTCAGAATAATCTAAGGTAACCACTTGCACCCGATTTGTGATTCATTCCTGTGTTTTTAAGGAGTGAAATTATCAAACAGTAAATAAAATAAGTTCAACTGTGATTCGCTTTGGATTAATTTTGTTTTTTTGTGGAGCAGCACTTCATAAGTTAAGGGGAAATAAACATTACACTTTATTAAC